AAAAAAACACTCGGCAAAGAGCTTCTTTGCCGAGTGTAAAAAAACACTCGGCAAAGAGCTTCTTTGCCGAGCGTCAAAAAAAACACTCGGTAAAGACGTCTTTGCCGAGTGCCCGAAAAACAACACTCGGCGAACCACTTGACACTCGGCAAAGAGCCGGTCTCCGGTAGTGCGGCGGCATGAGAGACGGTGGGGCCGGCGTGACCGGGTTGGGCGGGATAGGCACGCCGCCGATGTTGGGCGGCTCCAGCACGAACGGACCGGCGGGAAGAACAGGCCCATCTGGCTGCATAGCTCCGGACGGACGGTGAACGCGCCAGCGGAGAAGACGCGACCGCCGCCGCCGCCGCCGCCGTGGTGCTTGTGGTGGGGGTGGGGGATGAGATGGAGTCCGAGAGCGGAGCTGGTGGCGACGCAAGGCGGCGCGTTCGGCAGCTGCACCGCCACCGATCAGGACGTGATGGGCCGGAGCTTCTGGCTGCTGGGCTCGTGCTGCGCGAGTTGGACGTGGAATTTGCCGCTCCGGTCGGTGACCACGTCCTTCCGGATGACCGACCGGCCGTTCCCGTCGTGGCAGCGGACTCCGACCAGAGTGCCTGCTGGGAGCCGTACTACGTGTTAGAAGCACGCAGGCAAGCAGGCAAAAGCCTCAACATTTGTCATACGGTTGGTGAAAGCAAATTGCGCACCTGAAACCGCGGTGCACTACCGGACTCCTTGAGTTTGCCGAGTGTCCGAAACACTCAGCAAAAGACATAAAACACTCGGCAAATGGTTCACCGAGTGTAACACTCGGCGAACAGCACTCGTCAAAAACAGTGACGGCAAAGCCAACTTTACCGAGTGTCTTTTATCGGGCACTCGGCAAAGTCTTTTCCGAGTGCCCGACACTCGGCAAAGTTGAAACAAAAAAAACCCGAAAAAAATGGGAATTTTTACCAAAAAAAAATAGAATTTTTTTTTATCAATGGAGGCCCCCACCGGCCAACGCTCACCCATCTACGACATTTTTCGCGTAAATTTCATGGCTACGCGACCGACGTGATTCGAACCCAAGACCTCCCGCTGTGCATGTACCTCCTCTACCACTACATCACACTCTCACTTGTGTCTGGATTCCGTTTTAGTTCTCAATATATTATACTAAACCGAGTGTAAATTGCATGTTTGAGGCCCTAAACGAATTCAAATAAAAAAGTTGTAAACTACAAAGTTTTATAACTTTTCGAGATCTACACTTTTAGTTTAGGAAGTTTTTCCATCCGAGGTTGTTTACAAAATTTGAATTTTAAAATTTTGAAATTCAAACACAGTTTTGCATGACAAGATGTTTTCAAATTAAAAAGTTGTTAACTACAGAGTTTCATAACTTTTCGAGATCTACACTTTTAGTTTATGAAGTTTTTCCATCCGAGGTCGTTTACAAAATTTGAATTTTAAAATTTTGAAATTCAAACACAGTTTTGCATGACAAGATGTTTTCAAATCAAAAAGTTGTCAACTACAATGTTTCATAACTTTTCGAGATCTACAGAGTTTATTTTGGTTGTTTTTTCATCCGAGGTCGTTTGAAAAGTTCGAATTTTAAAATTTTAAAATTCAAACGCAGTTTTGCATGACAAGATGTTTTCAAATCAAAAAGTTGCCAATTACAAAGTTTCATAACTTTTTGAGATCTACAAAGTTTATTTTAGTTGTTTGGTCATCTGTTCATCCGACATGGTCGTTCTAACATTGTTCACAAATCTTATATATCTCTTGTAGTTTTATAAATTACAAGAGAGATATGTTAGATTTGTGAATAAATTTATTTTCACTTTGTCGTATGAAGAAAAGACCAAAATAAACATTGTATATCTTGATGAGTTATATAACTTTGTAGTTGAAAACTTTTTCATTTGAATTAATTTACTGCTTCAAAATGTGCTTTGAATTTTTCTTTGCCGAGTGTCAAAAAAAACACTCGACAAAGAAGCTCTTTGCCGAGTGTCAAAAAAAAACACTCGGCAAAGAAGATCTTTGCCGAGTGTTAAAAAAAACACTTGGCAAAGAGCTTCTTTGCCGAGTGTCAAAACAAACACTCGGCAAATGAGTCTTTGCCGAGTGCCCGAAAAACAACACTCGGCAAACCACCTGGCACTCGGCAAAGAGCCGGTCTCCGGTAGTGGTGGTAACCTAGGAGCTGGAGTGGACGACGACGACGGAGCCAACGACGACGGTGGTGGTGGTGGTGGCGGTGGCAGGGGTGGTTAGTAGTGGACGGGCGTGCTTCTGGCCATGGTGGGTGGCGGAGTAGCAGTGGAAGCAAGAGAGCTGCACCAAAACAAGGAGCAACCAAGAAGTGGTGTTCATTGTAGCGGTGCTAGATAGCTGGTATCGAGCTTATCTTCTCATGCAATGCAACTGCAACAGGAGGCGCGGCGTTCTATTTATGCATGCATGATGCTGAATTGCTGGTTAGGAGAGCAGTAGAGATGTCGATTTCTTGTGTAAATGGACGTAGGCGAACAAGACACGTTGTGATCGTCGGATTTGAGCCGAATAATCCAGGAATGAACTTGTTCGGCAACTTGAATGGAATTTACGCAGGTGTATAGTAGTAGAGATAAGTAAATGTAAATCCACACGCCGCACAATGAATAATTAGCTGATATGGAACTTAATGTCTGGTAGTACCTTGTGAATTCACCTCACAACAAAATGCTTCTTGAAAGTTGAAACATAATGAATTTCATTTTGTCACATGTCGAACTATTTTAATTAAGTTTACCTAAATTTAAAGAAGAGGGTATTAACATTTATGATCTCAAATAGATAAATTATAAAAAATTGTATCTTATCATGCTCATTTTTAATTTTGTAAAAATTAGGATCTATCGAGGTTTTAAGCGGTTCAACACTCGATTGTTTCCAACTGTAGGATGAAGCTGCCCCGCTCGCCTACCTCGTCTCCGGTCGCTCCCCGCCATCGGACCAGCCTCCAGCCCCACCGCCGTGCTAACCCAGCTTCGTCGGGACATTACCGTGACTCCCCGCCCGTTCCCTGCCCAACTGCCTTCCTCCATCACTCGGTCGGCAGCGCCACCGCTGCGCCGCCCCTGCGCCTGCCACCACCGCCGATCCATCCTTCCTCCCATGGTTTTCTTCTAAGCCTGCCGGAGTTGGAGAAGGAAGGCCACTAAATCCCAAACCCTAACCAGGCTAATTGCAGGGCAACAACTTGAATCGGGATGCCCATGAAATCAAGTGTTGGATTGCTCCAAAACAACCGAGTATCATTTAGCATTCTAAAATTACCATTGTTTCTATAAAATCTTGTGAGAGTTATGATAATCGGACTTAAGATAACTTATACTAAAGTTCACTATATTTTACTTGTGAAATGGTGCAGTTTTAAAATGTCTCACCTCTTTACAAGGAGAATGGCAACGTTGTAGGCTAGTATGAACGCCGCAGTAGAACGCATGGCCTCAACGTAGCCACCTTGCGTCGTCCTTTTGATAGTGCCAAAGAAACGCGTAGACGAATGGGACGACGGAGATGTTTTTTGGGAGGTTCTGAGCCTTGTTTATCTCTGCCCTGTGCATTCTGCGGCCTATATCGTTTCATGGCCTGGTTTCTGGCGTTTTTTCTGCCCTCACGTTCACGGGCTCTTGTTGCAACGTACTATCACTATCATAGATACGACTATATAGGTCTAGTATAGCAGTCGGCAGGGAATTTCTTTCTTTTTGGGCAAAAGAGGAGTCGGCAGGGAAATGCTCACATACATAGATAGAGAGAGGGAGAGACATTTTCTTTTGGATCGACGCCCTGATCCATACGTATACGTACAACAACAGAGTCCATATCACATCGTTAACACAACTCTAGTTATGCGAACTTGATCGAGCGATGCTCTCGTTTCTATGTAAACAGTCGATCCGACATCACACGCGTATGGTGGCTCCCATATATCTTTTTAATCTATTTTCACAACTTTGTTCTAAAACATATGCAAAAGTATAGATGGTCAAATGGACGGCCCGGCCCGAGCCTGTTGAGGCACGACCCGATAAGAGTTGAGTCGTCACAGCCATGTTAGCAAATTGTGCCTGTGTCGTGCATGTCCATGGGCTGTTCCTTCGGCCCAAGCACCACCCGCTCGATGAGCCTGCCAAGCTGGAGCTGTGCCTTGGTCGCGCTGACGGGCCTATATCGAACGCGACACTAAAAGGGAGAATTAGGGGAAAGGGAGAGGTCGTGCGTGGAAGAAACTCTTGTTTGTTGCTGCTCGATTACTCAAAGGAGAAGCATTAGGGTACGCGGGCTCCCCAGCTAGTTGGGGAAGCATCAGAGCGTCAGGTGACACAGGAAGGCTGTGCAGGATTAGGGTCAGGGGAGCCGATGCTAGTCGGGGAAGCATCAGGGCATCAGGCGGCACAGGAAGGCGGTGCAGGATCAGGGTCGGGGGAGCCGATGCGGGGTCAGGAAGGGGAGACGATCGGGGTCAGGGAAGGGATGAGGAGCGTGGGAGCCAATGCAGGAGCGAGGGAGGAGGAAGGGAGAGGAGTGCTGGAGCCAATGTTGGATCAAGGTCATGGGATGGGAGAAGAGTAGGAACACGATGCGGCATCGAGGAGAAATGGGAGGTGGTGGCACGAAGAATCGCACGGAGGCAACTGGGAGTAGGAAGCTAGGATTTAGAGTGAGCAGTAATATATTAAAAGCTAGGATTTAGAGTGAGCCCTGAGTCAAACCATGTCACGGAGGAGGTCATTCATCGCTGTTGGTTTTGTTTTTCTTCCAAAATTTGTAAGCCAAGTCATTTTATTTTATAAAAAAAAGGCTGGGCCAGTTCAACAAAGTTGGGCCAGGTTCCAAGCCTGGCCCAAATAAGCCCATGCACGTGCAGCCAATAGTCCATGATTGCACGACCACGACCAAAATCTTGTCGGGAAGCAGGTGTCGCAAACCACACATTCCTCAGTCCTCACACAACACGACCGCCACGAGTGGCCATGCTCCAACTCGCCCCCACCCCGCGGCCGTCGCCGGCGGCCGCTGCACCGCCTGCACGGCGTAGGCCCCGACCGTCCACCTCCGCATGCGTCTGCTGCTCGAGCGTGCACGAGCCGGAGAGGTCCCCGAGCCCGCGCCCGCGCCCGGGCGCGTCGCTGCCGCCGCTGCGGGAGGCGAAGCGGGTGGTGCTGGTGCGGCACGGGCAGAGCACGTGGAACGCGGAGGGCCGCATCCAGGGGAGCTCCGACCTCTCCGCGCTCACGCCCAAGGGGGAGTCCCAGGCCGAGACCTCCCGCCAGATGCTCCTCTCCGACTCCTTCGACGCCTGCTTCACCAGCCCGCTGGCGCGCTCCCGCCGCACCGCCGAGATCATCTGGCAGGGGCGTGACGACGACCTCATCCCGGACTCCGACCTCCGCGAGATTGATCTCTACTCTTTCCAGGTTTCAATTTTTACTCTTATCACTTTTTTCCCATCAATCACTTGTTTAGTCTGTGCAGTGCTGACAGAGTGCTTGTTGGAATGCCTGCCCAACTCTGTCTGCTTGTTAAATACTTGCCAGGTGATTGCGAAAATGCCTTGAGTAACGAGCTGGTGATTCTGGATTCCAGGGACTGCTCAAGCATGAAGGGAAGGAGAGGTACGGACTTCTCTACCGGCAGTGGCAGAAGAATGCAGCCAACTTCAGCATTGACGGCCACTACCCGGTGCAGGAGCTGTGGGGCCGTGCACAGAGCTGCTGGGAGCGGATTTTAGCACACCAGGGCAAGTCTGTGCTTGTGGTTGCGCACAATGCAGTGAATCAGGCACTTGTTGCCACCTCTTTGGGTGGGTACTCCTACATTTGGATTTGGGCGTGGAGTTTGGTATGTCAAAGTGTGATTGAAACTGATTTGCTTTCCTCACGTTTTTTTTAGGACTTGGCGCAGAGTACTTTCGGATTTTGCTCCAGAGCAATTGCGGTGCCAGTGTGCTGGACTTCACCCCACAGACTAGTGGAGGTCCTCCTAATGTTTGTCTTAACCGCTTAAATCAGGTGAGGGTAACTTTGTTCTCACCACTGACTTGTACAGTGGTACCTTCTGTATGTGAGATACATGATTATATATTTTTTTTTGTTCAAAAAGATAATATTCTTGTAAGGAGCAACATGTACAACTTACCAGTTCTGTTAGCATTTCACCAAAGAGATTCACAAGACAGTACAGGAAAATGGAAGGGTCAAACAATTAAAATATGGATTAATCTTGCCCCCCAACTGTATCTTGTACAGACCCCAAATTCTCCTGTATCTGGGGGAAGTTCTGCGGGAAGAAAGACAAGCAAGAGGATCATTCTGGCCTGTCAAGGGGCTACACAAAGCAGTTCTGAGGTATGGGGTTTTACACTTTTACTTTTTTTTTCTCCTTGCGAACAGTTTTACACTTGTTCATGCTGGTGTTCTATCATGAGTAAGCACTGACTATTTGTTTGGCATTCCATATTGTAATTCCTGAAATTGCCTTCAGAAAGTTGTGCGCACCAGTCCAACTTGGTCTTATTTGGCATGAAAACTAGAAAAACAATGCATCCCTACACCACTAATTGTCCATTGCTTTGGGTTCCAGATTAGCTTAGGTGGCATGGGATATGCACCGCTGAACATGCTTGGGACTATACAGGTACTTTGTTTTATTTCTTGCGTCATAATTTGTTTCCAACACAAAAGTTGCGCTCATTTCTGGACAAATACTTTCAGTCTCAGAAGACTGCAGAACTACTTCTGGATTTGAAAGTCAACAGCATTATCTGTAGCCCGCAAGTTGCAGCTGTTGATACTGCAACTGTTATATGTGAGGTGACCATAATCTGAACTAAACATGAAGTTCTTTAAATTGTGTTCCCTTTTCCTTCTGCCAATTTTCAGCCTGCTTTATCTGATCCTATGGAGTCAATTGCAGGTCCAAGAGGCTGCAGATTGCTTAGGTGCTGATTGTGTGCCTCGTTACGTAGAAACGAAAAGGTTGATGGAACTTGAAATTGAAGATGCCTTTCAAGCAAAGCAGAAGGTTAGACTGTTCCCAATTACTATGATTTCTGCTAAGTGCCACTTATTTTTATTAGCGACTAGATTATACGAAGATCGTTTACACTGTCCTTAAACTTGCAATTACATCTCCATACTCTACTATGTATAATAATGAGCTTGTCCTACAGAAAATTGTAACAACATTTTATTCATTTGAGTAATCGACAACTCTTTGCTTTTGTTCTTCAGAGTTTTGGGGAAATAGTTCAATCTGGTTGGTTGGGCGGCATGGAATACAAATTACTGGAGCGACTGTGGTCTCAGTCCAAGGATGCATGGCAGGCACTGTTAAATGAATTACCAGATGATACATCAGAACGTGTTCTTGTGGCCGTAGGCCATCCTGCCATTCACCTAGCTCTAATCTGCCGGTGTCTTGATTTGCCAATGGAGTACATGTCATCTTTTCACCTGGACGATGGCAGCATCAGTGTGATCGATTTCCCAGATGGGCCGATAGGAAGAGGCATCATCAGATGCACAAATTACACAGCCCATCTGGGTAGATGGTCAATACCCATTACACGGCCAACGGAAAATGATGAAGAATTCTAACATGGTAATTAACCCTCTGTATAGCATCCTTCAAGAACACATCGCATGAGTAAATACACCATACGGATGTACATATAATCTTGATCTCAATATCACAATATTTATGTACATAAAAAGTATATTATCCATTTGTTCAGTTGGGAAAGCAAAAGAGCTCCATGTCCTGCTGCACGCTCTGCACCCTGTGGAGGTGCAGATTTTAGCTACGCACAGCAGAGTCTGAGATACTGACGGTTGTGTCACCAGGCAAATGATGAATACAGTATATCTATTCGCATGATGTCAAGTGAAGAGAGAGCGATGGATTCATGGGACAAGAAGAGATGCTGACAAAGGCTGCTACCACGATCTGCATGGCGGAAGGTTCACAGCTTGAGCATGAGCATGCCACATGTCCTCTCTGCTGCCACGTGTAGCCCTTCATCTTCCAGCAGCACTGCACTCTACAGGCTACTGCAACACCTCGAGCTTTCACCTAGTATGCTACATTCCATATGGTGCTACAACTGTAACTCTGTAAGCCTCTAATGGAGTACTCAACGCCGCACCAGGTGTCCAGGTACCAGCAGCACGGTTACTCCGGCGATGGCCTCTACACGGGCCGGCCAAGAAGCTCAGCCAGCGGTGAGTCCGACGACGACGCCCTCCTCTTCCTTGCCGCTCCGGCAGGCTGGCTCATCCGGCTGCTCGCCTTCCTCGGGGAGCTCGTCGCGTCTGCCATCCTCAGCCTGGTCTTCCCCGTCGCCGCTCTCGTCGGGGCGCTGCGCGCCCTCCCTGCGGCGGTCGCGCCCAGCCTCCGGCGCGCGGCGCGCGGCTTGCTCGCCGCGGCGTGCACCTTCGTTGCCCTTGTGGCCGCGCTGCTCGTGTCCGTGCTCCTCGGCTTCGTTCTTGTCCGGCACTGGGTCGAGGACCCGGTCACCGTGCGCCAGCAGCTCTTCTTCGACTACACGGAGGCGCAGCCCAGCGCCGCGGTGGTCCTTGGTGGTGGAGCTCGAGGCGCCGGCGCCGTGCTGCCGGCGGGTCACTCCGTCAGGGTGTCCATGGCATTGCTGTTTCCTGATTCCTACCACAACCGTGAGGTTGGCATGTTCCAGGTACATGCACATGCTTGTTACCAAATCTCCGATCCGGTAAACTCGTTTGCTGATGTGTGCATCGCACGGTGAACTCGTCTTCTTCTGAAGATAAAAGCAGAGGCGGTCTCTGTAACTGGAATCACCATGGCATCAGCTACACAGCCATACATGCTGAGGTACAAGAGCACCCATGTCCGGCTGGCGCAGTCTGCGCTGCTGTGCGTGCCACTCACTCTGGGCATACGCAGTGAGACCCAGGCCGCAAGTCTCAAGGTGTTGCAGTACAGGGAAGGCCATGGCCGCCATAGGAGAACAGGGGTTATCAGAGTCTTGCTGCAGCCAAGAGCTGCGACGGTGCAGCTGCCCCAGGTGTACAGAGCAGAGGTTGTTGTGCAGACAGCTCTTCCGTGGTCCAAGAGCCTGGCACGCGGCTTGAAGTGGACACTCTGTGTGTGGGTGTCTTCCTCTGTGTACGTTGCGCTCATTGTTCTTGCTGTTTGTTGGGCCCGGCCTCTCGTGGTGTCCGCGAGGAATAGGAGGCTGTCTGAGATTCAGGCCGATGGAAAGATGGCTTCTGGTTTGGGTTCTGGAGATATTGGTGAAAGCTCAAGCAAGGAGGTGTCTGAAGATTTTGCAGTGAAGTGGAGGGAGAGAAGAAGCAAGCGGAAAGCACAGTTTCGAACGCGATTACACGGAGGCAGCATGGACCTTGAGTCCACTGAGGGTTCAACTTCTAGTGTTGCAGTGGTGGAGACAAGTGAGGCCATGAATGATCCTTGAGAATCTGATTGTATACAATCATCAGTATCTGATGATATCAACTAATTTTAATCAGGGGTGTTGCTGTGAAATTTGTGTGTGTTGTTACCACTAGACCTCTGTGTGTACTGTAGATGTGACCCAAAGGCTTCTATACTACTCTACATTTCAGACCAACGCATATAATAACGAAAACATACATGGATGAATGAAAACTTCATGGAAGATGGAACCTTGTCTCCTTGCTCATGTGGCTCCAACACTTAAGTTGTTTGGGCGACCTATATTTTCAGGAAAATTATGGAGTGTCCCTTTCATGGTTGCAGAAGCTGCACATAGGAGCATATTTCTACTTCGTGCCAGTATTTTGTAAGTTAAATCACTCTCTCAGTAATCTGCGCATTTTTTCCACTCTCTGGACAAGTTCTGGTTCAAATCATTTGCTTTCCTGCAAATAGGTTATCATATCTGTTCTTTTGTTGAGTAGGATGTAGGCACAAAAAGACATCAGATTTGTTGGATAGGTCCTACTTATTACAGGTGCTGAAACTTGTATAAGTTGGGACCATTGTATGCTCTAGGAGACTGAGCTGTTAGATAAACTCCGTAGGTCCTATACTTTTTACTGATCTACAGCTATTGAAAACTTTCTAAGATAGGGTCCTTGTGTGCCACAGGCAACTGATCTGCAATTCTTGGTATGTACGCCAATACTTTGTGGGAACAATGTAGGGACAGAATAATACATTGAGCACTGTACAATCATGTTACTGCAAAAGGATCGCTAAGCTTAGGGCCAAGTGGGCTCATGATTTAATGGAGATTTCTCATGCTGATCAGAAGATTGTACTATTTTGAGCTGTTTCAACTTACAAGTAGCTTTGATTGTCCCAGCTACACCAACACAGAGGAACGGAAGCTCATCATTTCCAATTGGGAGCTAGTACCTGTTACTTCCTACTGAAAGCATAATACTTCTATTTGGATATCAGAATTTGCACGCGTGTTGATTTTTATCTACCTTTTAGTTTGGTAAGACTAGAGAATTCTATGTACCATCTCTCCTCAACTGCCTTGCTGCTGTCAGTTAGGAGTAATATATCTTGTCCCTCTGCAGCCAGCTGACCCAATAGTAGGTTGGTGAGAGGCCTCTTTTGTCAATCTATGCATTTATAGACCATAACTATTCATTGTCAAAATTTTCTAGTTCAACAGGAACAAAGAAAGGATATATGCCTCATGTGCATAGTTCATCTACCTGTCATTCTATCATACACATATAGTTGAACTGCAGCATAATATTTGTTTCTCACACAATTGATAAGAAAGAATTGTGCCTCCTAGCTGGATGGTCCCTACCCTTATGCAAGAAGATCCACATTATCTGAGTTGCCATAAAAAAGAAGAAACTAATTTGAAGTATTCCATTTATTTCTGTTTCTGCCTGTTGTTAAAACCTTAAAAGTTAAAGAATCGTTGTCTATTGTTCTCACGGATCCTGCCTTATGTTTTGAGGTGCATCTCATTTAGCCACTCTGCCCTACCAACATTTCTCGGATCTGAAAACAAAGTCAACAGACCATGCACTGAATTTATAATGATTTGGGATCAGTGACTGGTTTAGCCAATGCATGTATCACATTTTCATATCTGCACTTTGTTCCATAATTCAATTTAGTATGTTGATTTCTTAAACAATATTTGACATTCTCATTTCTCAGATCAGATTGGCTTATGATTCATGGACCAATGGACCAGGACCTTGTGCAGTCCTGCATCAGCAGTAGGTGAGTCCCAGCATACTCTGTCTGGTAATAAATATGATGGACCCGCAAGAAGGGGGCAAAATTATGAGATTAAGGTTGCATTCCATGTGAATTTTTTATTCACCATATAGTTTTTGGACGTTGCAATTTAAGAGCTGTTAGTTGGTACCTAACAAAAATGTGTTCTAAGCCTATGAACAAAAATGGAGACACTAGCCATGTGACAGGGGAGCAAGCTTTTGCTTTGTTTAGAATCCATCATTAGTCAATCCCTCAATCATTAGGAGGTGAATCCATTTGCTTTCGTACTGAATTCTGTATAGGTAATAAAGTCACAAACCTTCCACTGCGTTCCATTGGAGTGTGAGATCTCGGTAGTTGTTGGCACTGGCGTGTGCTTTGATGTTGGACCATACTATGTTTTTTGCTCATCATACATTTCACACGTCAAGGGACCATGAGCATGATTCTCTGATCCCCCCACACATTGTTTATCCAGTTGTCAGTCTGAACCAACACTTAACCCTTTGTTTTTTGGAAGAAGCCTATTTTTTGCCATCGAACTATTGCTGAAGTCCGGTTTTTGCCATCAAACTCTAAAACCAGATATCTAAGGCCATTGAACTATACAAATCGGGCACTTTGACCCTCGGCTGCTTTTGAAGGTGGTTTTGCCTATATTATATATTTTTCTAAAAATAATAAAACTATGATTAAATCTCTAAAAAGACCATAAATAATTCATTTTAAGTCATAAAAAACCTGCTGCCCCCTTATCCGTACTTCATCCATCCATGTCATCATACCTCGTATAGCAGGTTCTGAAAATTGTTGAAGATCAGGAGATCTGGTTCTTTACACAACGAATTTGAAGTTCTAAAGCATTCCAGTTAGTATTAGTTGCAGCAAATCTAGTTTTGCCGGTCTTGATTCAACTGAATTAAATTTTATATACAAGGTAGGACGGAATCATGTGCTGGAATGGTTCTTCATTGCCTCGCTGCTGCCTGCTAAACTAGGACCAACTGGCTCTTGAGTCAGTCTTGATGGAGTGGAAGCTTCCTCCCATGCTGATCAAGATCTACAGTGCTCCAACAACCAGCAGGTAAGCACGAGGAGCCATTCTGACTGGAGCATAGAAGACGACAAATGCACCTGAATTTTTTTCCCCTAATGCTTCTCTTTTTTTTTATGTAGTGCTTGTCCTGCCTCTAATTGGGGAATTGAATTGAACATGAGAAAGGCACTGGGGTTCCTCAGCTAGAACATGGGAGGGAGGTTATATTAATATAACCTCCCTCCCATTGCATGATGACATCATCTCAGTCAGCTGGTTCTCTGTTGTAGGTCAGAAACAGTGTTAACTTGTAGTCTAACAAGAAAAGAAACTGCGCCCACCGTACAACAGCAATTCATCTACTTGCTGCTGAGACATACAGCTAGTGATACAGGTACGATAAAAAAACGAGCAGAATACTAGTTTGCCTCCTTCACTTTCCTGGCAATACAAATTTTATTTTTGCTGACAGGATTAGATATCTACTAGACTGTACGTAGATCATTGTGCACGGATACCAGCTTTTTCTGATCTTTCCTGGAAAGGAACAACAGGGTTAAGAACTGGTTTCAGATTTGGCCGGTTGTTGAGAGCGCTGAAACCTGAAGAGCTGCCTACTGTTTTTCATGGATCCTCTTTTCCTTGTTTTCAGTTGGTTGTTCCATTTCTGCTTTAATAAACAAGTGTATATTCAGCATGGGACACAACTATTTTCTTTTTCATTCGCCTGCTTGTTCTTCTTTATAAGAAGCAAAGTCAACAAACCATGCATCATGCATATAGTATATTATTTAATATTTTTAAATGCTCCTGGGATCAATCAAGCACCTGGTATTGCCGGCCGGCATTCTCAGTCATCGAAGCAGATCGTCACTCCTTGAATGCCAAAGCTACCATCTCTTTAGTATACTCCAACTGAGCTTTTTTTAGCCATGATTTCACATGGTTTGCTTTGCTTGTCAGATCAGACTATGGCCATGCAATTGCATTGCTCATGGAGTCAAGGACCAATGGTCCATGCTCCATGCATGCACCTGTACGTGTGCGGTTCTTAAATTTCAAACGGGCTAGTGAGTCCCATCAGTGCTAATTGGCTACCTGATCTAGCAAACCCGGCCTATCATCAGTTACTTAACGCAATGATCAATCGATCTGTCAAGATGGGATCAAATTTATGAGACTATTTATGTGCAGGTTCTTCCACCTCGTCCGTGCAATGCAAACGCGACACACATTGTGTGGCACGTGTGTGTGTGCGCTAACTAATAGGGTTTTGCTGTCTACCTTAAATTATTGATGACTAATTATCTCGTGATGATAGCGATTTGCATGCATGCGGATGCAGCTGCATTGATGGAAGACGGAAGACATAAGCTAAGATACACTAGATATAGAAATTGAAAAGGCTTTGCTTCGTTTCTAATTCATCATCTTTTGATTTGATATGCCGCCTGACACATGTGTAGTAGTATAGTGCCTGATATTAGCCCTCATTTATTGGGAGGCTGGACATGTGTAGTATATATATAGTGCCTGATACTTACGGGTAACTTTATGTGTAGGTAATAATGTGACAAGATTGTCCTTTGTTGCAGTCCCTATTCCCTAATATAAACTCACTGTCTGGTGGTCTACTAACTGAGTCTATCGATTTTTCGTTTCCTAATTTGTACTCAGTTTAGAGGAAGTGGATTTCGAACACATGATCTCATTAGTTGATAGTATTATGGCTTGTTTGGCTGCACTTCAATCCATCTTAATTTACATGTATTAGAGTGAATCCCCGGTAAGCTGGTACTATGCGCGTGCATCCATGAAACATTTTTAGATAATGGAACAAGATTCCAGCCAACCATCCATAAAACATGGAGATGGACAAGGCAATGCAACAGAGCCTTTCATTGGTCTGTAACTGTAATCCTCCATCTTTGCTTCCCTTGGTAGTTGGTAGTTGGTAGCATAGCATAGCATTGTTTATGCCATTGCTGCGTCCTGCGTGTCCGCACTTTGCCATCATTCATCTGCCGACGCTTCCTTCCACTTCCACCCCCTGCCAACGGCTGCCTCTTATATTTATCTATTGCTAACAACTTCGTTGATCGACCGAATGATTACTGGACCACAGGAGCAGAGTAGTAGATAAGAGTTTACTATCAGAAGCAACGGGCCATATAAAAGGAGGATGAGATGGGAGGCAA